ACGAGGTGGGAGGGGTGCTGACCGTGATCCCGCAGAGCCCCCGCCGCCCACCCCCCAGGGGTCAGGTTCGCTTTGAGCCTGTGTCGGGGACAATGGCATGCGGACGTGGGCCCTGTGATATCTGAGTGGAGAACCACCGTGGCTTTGATTTTCTCTTTTTCCTTACTTGCGCGTCTGCAGTGTCTCCTCTCTACAGCGGGCAGTTGTCCCCAGTCCCTCAGAGAGCGCTCTGGTTCTCAGTTTGCTTTGACAGCAGGCGGATGAGTTAAGTTCTGCCGCGGGTCCAGGAGCGTTAGACCAGGGTGGGAACGGGGCGGAGGGCGGCACCAGCTCTGTGCAGAGACAGAACAACACGCTGCGGGACTCCGCTCCCTCTGAGAAGCTGGCCTCTGGGCTGCATTAAAAGAAGCTTAAAGGGTTTGCGTCCCATCAGAGAAGCGGGTCCTACTGGGCCCTGGGCTGGTCCACCAAGGTAGATTCTGAGTGTCCTATGACAAGCAAGAGTGTGTCTATCAGACAGAGCCACGGGCTCCAGGCACCTGGGTGCAGTGGGGAAACTGAGGCAGCCCGAGTGGGGAAGAGAAGGCTAAGAGGAGATAGGACTGTGGCCCTCGGCTATTTGGGGTCTCATCTAAGAGCAGGAGACGCTGCAGACCTAGGCGCAGAGCGTCAGAGGGCCACGGGGCCTGGAGCTGTCCAGTGAAGTGTCGGCCGGGCTTTGGAGAAGCACCTCGTGCCCAGAGAAATGCCAGCTGTCCCCGGGCCCTGCATCGTCCCCAGCTCCATCCCCTGGCCCCAGCAGGCCGGTGGTGACATGCCAGGTCCCCCCCCTCCAGAGGTACTGCAGTCCCCCTGCTATGCAATTGTCCCGGAGGGCAGCTCCGTCAACATCACCTGCTCCAGCAGCGGCTGGCTGAGGGGGATCTACCTCAACCGAGACTGGCCCAGCGCCTCTAGTCCCATCAGCTACTATGAGGACGGCAAGACGCCCACCGTGGACAAGCTGTTCCGGATGCGCATCAACTTCTCGGGGTCACAGCACAACCTGACTATCACCATGCAGCGCCTGCAGCCTGCCGACACTGGCGTCTACACCTGCCAGGCCATCGTGGACGACAAGATCTCGGGCGCCGGAACCCTGGTTGTGGTGACAGGTGGGAGCATGCCCACTCCTGGGACGTCCCTCTGATCCCACTGGGCCCCTGACTGGGCACCTTCCCTCCTGCATTTGCTGGAGTCACTCCTTCCAGTTCAAAGCCCCTCTCCTCCAGGAAGCCCCCTGGATTTCTCCTGACCTCCACTACCCCTTCCTGAAGCCTGAAGGCTCCACAGGAGTCCTCCACACCACAGAATCCCCACTTGTAAAGTGCGCCTCCATTCCTTTTTTGTAGACAAATCGTCCCCCAGAGCAGACTTATGCCGGAACGACTGGGCGAGAGCCTTTGGCCTCCCTGTGGCCCTGGCCGTGTGCTGCTTCCTCGCCGGGCTGGTCCTGGGGGTGGTGTGTGCACCGAGGACGACGCAGGTCAGTGGACCTCGAGCTGCCGCCTGTGACCCAGCTCCTAAACCGCTCCTCTCAGGAGAGCGGAAGGGAGGGTGGAGCGGCTAGCCCCCGGGAGCTGAGCCTCTCCTCAGGGTTTCCAGCGAGTGCTGAGGACCAGGGAGAACCAAGGACCAAGGTGGGAGGGGGACCCCAGAACCCAGAGCGATGCAGAGATGCAGACATGGGCATGTGGCGGGGCAGGGGACCCGGAGAAGACACTCCTGGCAGACGTGCCAGGGGCGAGGGGTGAGGAGGGTCCAGAGAGTGCGCGTCAGCTGACCAGACTCCTGTGCACGCTGGGGGAGCCCGTGACAGAATGTGCATGGTGTGTGTGCCTGTGCATGCGTGTGTGTGAGTGTGAGAACGTGTGTGTGGTGTGTGTCTGTGGGAGAGTGTTACGTGGTGTGTGCCTGTGTGCATGTGTGGTGTGTGTGTGCGAGAGTGTGGGAGTGTTGTGTGGTGCGTGCACACATGTGAGTGCATGGTGTGTATGAGAGTCCGTGTGGTATGTGCACAGGTATGAGTACCCTGCGTGTGCACGTGTGAGCGTGACAGCATACGTGTGGTGTGTGTGTGGGCGTGTGTCTGTGAGAGTGTGTGTTGAGGTAGAAGCGAAGGGGCTGACAGAAGCAGGGGGTAGGAAGTGGTCACTCAGTCGTTTGTCTTGGGCAGGGGCAGGAGCAGTGACAGAGACAGCCCCCCCACCAGGTCCTCATCCCACAGGACAGTCCTGAAGCCCAGCTCACAGTCCCTCATCCAGCCCCGGCCCAGCTCCTGCTCCAGGTCCCAGGGGCCTTGGGGACTGCTGCCCTGTCCACCAGGGTTGGGGATGGCGCTGGTGGGCTGTTGGAAGTGCAGGACTGGGGGTCCTAGCCTGGATCCTGTGAATAGGCTTTAGCAGGCCCGGGAGGCCCAGCAGCCTTGTGAGGTTCACAGGGGCATGAGAGTTGGAGAAGGTGCCGCAGAGTGCGGCCAGCACTGAGCAGTGGGGCTTTGCCCTCCAGATCAAGAAGCTCTGCTCGAGGACGGACCGGAGCGCAGACGTCGTGGTCTATGAGGACATGTCCTGCAGCCGCCATAACACCCTGTCCATCCCCAACCAGTACCAGTGAGCCTGGCACCGAGCACCTGCCACAGCAGACCTCAGAGAGAACCAGCCGGCCGGGCGCCACGAGCCCCGCCAGGCCCAGTGCGGGCCAGATGCCAGCCTGGTGCTCTGCCCGGGACCCTGGGAGCTCAGGGCAGTGGGCAGCTCCGTGGTGCTGTCGGATGTCTCCTTTGCCCTGTGCCAGCTGGAGGGGCACCTTCTCCAGGAAGCCCTCCTTGTCTCTCTGGCCACCAGGAGAAGCTCCGGCTCTCCCTCTGTGCCTTCTCTTCCTGTGGCAGCCCAGGGCCTCCTCTGCTTGACGGGTCTGGGGCAAAGCCATGGCCCCTGTTCTCCCATCAGCACCCTCGCTCTGCAGCAGGTGGGCCCCCCACAGCCCTCAGGCAGCCTGGGGCAGAGGGGGTGTGAGGAGGTCCAGCTCCCAGCTCCGCCTTCTTGCCAGAAATAAAGTGTTTGTTTTCTTCCCTTTCTGAGTCCCCATCTGTTTCCGCCTCACTCAGCGCAGCAGGGGAGAGGGGGCTGACGTGGCCAGGCGTCCCTCCCACCCCCGCTGGCTGGCGTCCTCATGGGGTTTCTGCAGGTGTGTTTTCAAGGGGGAGTCCCTGGGTGGTGCAAACAGTGAACACACTCAGCAGCTAACCGAAAGGTTGGAGGTTCGAGTCCACCCAGAGGTGCCTGGGAAGAAAGCCCTGCATTCTACTTCTGAAAAATCTGGCTTGAAAACCTTACGGAGCACAGTTCTACTCTGGCACACATGGGGACACCATGAGTCAGAATCGACTTGACAGTAATTGGTGTGTGTGTGTACATACATGTATACACACACATAATACATGTGTGCAGACACGCATACATACCTGTATGCACACGTATGTGCATAACCCACACACATATGCATGTATGCAGACACACATACGTGCATAACCCCCACACACGTATACATGTATGCAGACGCACACACGTGCATAACCCACACATGTGTACATGTGTGCATACAGACATGTTCTGTTTTTCTGAAGAGCCGCAGGACACAATGATATTCATCACAGTGCTGCTTTCACACAAAAATTAACAACTGAGAAATGACCTGAATAAACTCCAGTTAAGAGAACGGCTGTATGAGTTTCAGCACCTGTGTGGGTCGTGCTGCTGAGGGAGAATCTGGGGTTCTCCCCCAGGACGTTCACGGAACACCATGAAGTGACAGAGATCCAGCATGACCCCACATTTCTAAAGACAACACGCAGACACACCGATGGGGGTGTCAACACGGGTGTGTGTTTTTACATCTAGAGTGCGGAACAGCGGAACAACAGGCGGGTGGTGGGGTGTGGGGACTCTGTCTTCTGTTTTCAGGCTCTGTATTTTATTTTAATTGCGGTAGAATGCATGTAACAACACGCTTGCCACTTCAAGCATTTTTGCGCAATTCAGTGACATTAATTGTGTTCGCCTGGTTATGCAACCGTCACCACCATCCATTTCCGAATGTTCTTCGTCTCCCTAAACAGACGCTCAGGGCTGCCTGAGCAATAACCTGCCTTTTCCCCGTCCCCCCGGCCCTGGTAACCTCTAACAAACTTTGCCTATTCTAGACATTTCACACCAAGGGACCGTGCAATATCTGTCCTCTTGCATCTGGCTTCTTTCGCTCAGTGCATCTGCAAGGTTCATCCACGTTGCAGCGGGTATCAGGACTTAATTTCTCTTCACAGTCTCTGTATTTGACAGCAGTGTGTTAGCTGGGGACAGTGATCCACCAAGACCTCTCGGGTGTGGGGCGAGCGGCCCGGATATGGTCAGGTTCCTGGGTAGGGCGCCAGTGATCAGCGCAGCTGCCCTGCAACGCTGCTCTGGCTGTGACCTCGGCAGCTCAACGCTCTCCGCCCTCACCGGGCGTCCTGTGTCCCAGCGTGTCCCCTGGCCCCTCGCTCTCTGTGCGTCTAGCACCCCAGCCCCAGGAGAAGGTCTGCTGGGCTGGCAGGCGCTGCCTAGGGGCGGGGAGGGGCAGCCCAGACCTCACGCTACAACCACATGTGTGAGGACCCCCCATGGGGGTGCTGTGGGCACGGCGGGCCCCGCGAGCTCTCAGAGCTACGATGCCTCTTCTGTCTGCCCTGGACAACACACGTCACCTCTAGAACTTAAGGGGAAACGGATGCATATATGTTAAATATCCTGCATATCATACATATGTAGAACGTTGTTGCCAGGTACCATCGAGTCGATTCCATCAAGTCGACCCCATGTGACAGAGCAGAGCTGCCCTGTTGGGTTTTCCAGGCTGTAATATCACCAGATCTTTCTCCTCAGGAGCTGCTGGTGGGTTCAAACCGCTGACCTATTGGTTAGCAGCTAAGCGCTTAACCATTGCACCACCAGGGTATATATATATATATATATATATAACATTGTATAATATAAAATTGTACTATACTATATAGGTAAAAATACACAGATATCAAACAAATCATTAGTATCACATGCAAGTGAAATCTTGCTGAAAATCATTCAAAAACAGTTGCATCAGCACATCCACAGGGAACTACCAGAAATTCAAGCCGGATTCAGAAGAGGGCGTGGAATTAGGGCCATCTTTGCTGATGTCAGACCTTGGGGGAAAGCAGAGAATACCAGAAAGATGTTTACCTGTGTTTTATAGACTATGCAAAGGATTTCTGCTGTGTGGATCATAACAAATTATGGATAACATTGCAAAGAATGGAAATTCCAGAACACTTCATTGTGCTCATGCAGAACCTGTACGTAGACCAAGACGCAGTTGTTCGAACAAAGCAAGGGGATACTGCGTGGTTTAGAATCATGAAAGGTATGCATCAGGGTTGTATCCTTTCACCATACTTATTCAAACTGTATTCTGAGCAAATAATCCGAGAAGCTGGACTATATGGAGAAGAGTGGGGTATCAGGATTGGAGGAAGACTCGTTAACAACCTGTGATATGCAGATGACACAACCTTGCTTGCTGAAAGTGAAGAGGACTTGAAGCACTTACAGAAGAAGATTCGTATGTACCACATTGCTTCATTCTGTGGTTTACAGGGTCTCTGTGAGTCGGAACCGACTCGACGGCACCTAACAACAACAATCTTGCCGCATTACCACAGGCAGAGATTAGGATTTACAAAACAGGATAATCACATCAGGTCACTAAATGGTGACAACCACACAGCCCTGGGAATCATGGCTTAGCCAAGTTGGTACACATGTTTGGGGGACACAATTCACTCCATAACACTCCCAAATAGTATCATAACTACAGACATAGAGGCTAGGATTTACAACACGTAGGGTAATTATATCAGGTCACAAAATGGAGGACAGCCACACAATACTGGGAATCATGGCCTAGCCAAGTTGACACATATTTCTGGGGGACACAATTCAATCCATGACCCTCTCCACGCCCAGGGCTGTGCTCCCTCAGTCCTCCTCCCCCTGCACGATCCCCATCTGTGGACAGGGTCATGATCCCTGAGTCCTCCTCCCCCCATGTGACCCCCCCCCCAAGGCTGTGCCAACACTGGCTGCAGGGTCCTGGCCTCATCTCTCTGCGTCTCTGTTCTCACCTGGTTGGTGAGGACTTGGAGAGTGGTGCTGAGTCTTTCATCCCGTGTTCGCCACCCCCAGCTCTGGCTCGGGGGACACCTGGCACCCCTATTGAGCACCTACTGGTATTAGGCATGCTCTGTAAATGTGCGCAATTGGTTGTATTCCTCTCACGACAAAGGGCCTGGGCTCGGGTCCGAGTCCTGGGTCCACGCTGCCTGCCTCCCAGACTGAGCCTCTCTGAGCCAGGCCTTTCTTCCTAGTCTGTCTTAGTCTGGAAGCTCCACTGAAACCTGTCCACCATAGGTGACCTTGTTGGTATTTGAAATACTGGTAACATAGCTTCTAGCATTGTAACGACACAAAATGTAGGGGTACAATAAAGATATCCTCAGGCACGTGAGTCCTCAAGGCAACGCGCAGACTTTGAAATCAGGCTCGGAGGAAGAATTCAATTAAAAAGAGACTAGAAGCAGGAACCGATTACAAGAGAGATAAGAGGCAATCAGAGTAACCTGGAAGAGTTTATTTTTGTCCAAAAAAAAAAAAAAAAGAAACAAAACAATGACTAAAGAAAAAGAAAGGTATCTACGTAAGTATCTAGACTAGAATTCTAGATAATACTAGCCCAGTGAAGAAGGAGCTGGGAAGACCGAAGGGAAGGAAGGATGCTGAAGCTTTTATCTGTCAGAGGGAAGATGCGGATGAAGATAAGGCTGAGAAATCAATCTGGCTACACAGATCTGTGTGTGTGAGGCTCAGGGAAACCACGGTGAGAATCAAAACAGAATACGCCATTTGTTACAGCACCATAAGCTTCTGTCCAGCGGAAACCAGGAAAGGAGGAAAAAATCAACATAAAGAACGCGCCGTGGATCGAAAATACGAAATAAGAAGACAAGATAAAGCCCTAATTTAACAATAAACACAGTAAGTCCTGCTAACTAGTTACAGCTGGAGCAGAGGGGAGGTGGTGGGTGAGGCCGGAAAGGGGGACTCGGGACACTCTGCGGGGCGGGGTGAGGGGTGCACGGGATGGGGTGGGAGAGAGGTGGCCAAGGTGTGGCTGGGCAGGGGACCTGAGATTAGAAGGGCGGGAGGGGGTTGGAGACAAAAATGGGCACCACAAGAGGACGGACGTCGTGAGCAGCCTAGAGGCCTGGATGGGTCAGCAGTGCAGGAGGAGATGGAGCAGCGCCTCAGCGTCCTGACCCAGAGAACCCAGCCTCACGGGTGAGGAAGTTGCCTAGCCTTGGAGGTGGGGGAGGAGTAAGGGTTCAGCATCCTCCCCACAGTCTGGCTGGATGCAACGTGTTGCGCAGGGCTGAGGCACCTAGGTTAAGAGGAGGGCCATGGGGTGAAGGGGGGAATCTGAGCGGCCTCGGGGTGGGTAGGGGAGGTCCGTGGAAGTGGCACAGTCTTTCCAGAAGCTTCCGAAGGCACTGTGGGGAGGAGAAGGCCTAGTCCTGCCCCTACCCC